CTATAAACCTAAGTGCAGTTCCCTGAAAACTGTCCCTGAGGAAAGATGCACCGATTGGTTTATACTACTTGATATAATATTAGAGATACAAAGATATAACAATATTCTGTATTTGACCCACCATTTGTATCAACTAGATAAGACTTGTTTCAGATTTCATTTCTGGCTAGATCTAAATTTGACAGTTCCAAATAAAATCCTATTGTTGAAAATGTTGACTTGCGGCTGCAATATCATATCTACTTCTCATATGGCTTGAGGTGAATCTTAACCAATCTGTTTTGAGCAATAACCCTTTCCAATGGATACTTTATTTAGGCAGCATCAAGATATTGATGGTGGAGATAGAAATGTTTATTTGAAACCTGACTGTATTACAGATAATCCTCGACTTGCAAACATTTGTCTAGTTACATCAGCACTAAAAAAAGGGGACTTATGACCAGTTTTCACACCTACAATCGCTGCAACATCCCCATGATCAAAATTCAGGCACTTGGCAACAGGCATGTATCTGTCACACTTGCACTGTTCTGGGGTCATGCAATCAATCACCCTTTGTAACCTTCCCAGATGGCTTCTGACAAGCAAAGTCAATGGTTACTTAATGACTACCTGATTCACTTAACAACTGCAGTGATACACTTAACAACCGGGGGGGGGGGCAGGGAGCCATAAAATGGGGAAAAAACTAACTTAACAACTGCCATGCCTAGCAACAGAAATGTTGGGCTCGGTTATGGTCTTAAGTCAAAGATGGCCTGTACTGATATACAAACAAAAACATGTATGCCTTTGTTTCAGGTCGCTAAGAGTTACTAGGGTGATTAAGATAGCCTATACATTGACTAATTTTACAATGAGTTATATGAATGGTCAATAGAGTTATAGGGAAATGGAGGTGAGTGGGTTGAGAAGTTAACATTTAATAGCAGCATCAACATGAAACATTGAAGAGATCACTGTTGTAAAAAAATGAAATATTTTGATTTAGAATTAGTAGTTTTAGTACAAACTTACTAAAGTAGCTATATAATTTGATTATAGTCATATGTAGCAGTTTATTGGATTAAATTGTTGCCTATTTAACATATATACATGCATAGCATATGTAAGTGTGTCTGTGTGTGTGTGTGTGTGTATACATCAGAATTTCATTTTTTAATGCATGCCAGTGTGTTCACAGAAAAAAGTGACAAGAAAGGTTATCTTATCATTTCATTTGATTCTTACTCTATGTAGGAATACAGTACTTATGGCTGGTTCTTGCAGTTAAGGCCATTGCAGCATGTTCAAGGTAATGTGGTCAAAATTTGAGTGCAAATTTGTTGCCTTCCCAGCCAACTTCTGACTGTTCTGACCAAGCCTTCCTGAGACAGTAACAATCACATGCTGTTCCCAAACACCTTTTGTTTTATTTCAACGGCTGTGAATTATATGCATTCACAGCCCGTAATGAGTCCCAAACAGTTTATGAATAGTCCAAGACAAGTCTGCCAGTCTTTTGGGATAAGGCTGATAAGCACCCACCTTTATCTCCTTTGAAATGCTGCCAACAACTAAATTGCCAATTAGCTGTATAAGGCCAAACGGAGCACAAAGTCAGCACGGAGCTTCAGATTTTAAACCGATCAGAATGAACAAAGTTGCTTCCTGCAAAGGCTCATATCCCTCTGCTCCTCTTATGGGAGGGGCCAATCATCTCCAAGCCTTACTCCCGAGTCGCCCCTTTTGTCTTAACTGTTCTTGCCTTCTTGCAACTCTGCACAAGTACGCACTGGGAACAGGCTCCCCCTGTTCCTCTGCCTTGCTGATGTCAGATTCTAGAGGCTCTGGAGTCAGCACATAACTCTCAGATGGCCCTGGCTCCATCTCTGTGTTGGACACAGATCCCTTGTCCAAGCCCTCTGCAGACTCCAGGACTGGCCCATGTTCCTCCCCACTGTCCGACTCCGCTGCCAGCTCTGCAGGCCGCCGGTGGACCACAACACTGACAAGCAAAAGTTAATGGAGGAAGCTGGATTCACTTAACCACCACAGATTCACTTTAAAACTTAATAACCATGGCAAAAACAATAGGTAACATGGGGCGCAGCTCACTAAACCATATTTTGGTTGCAATTGTGGTCACAAGTTGAAGACTATCCATACATATTTTTGCATCACTTTTTCCCCTCCAGGCTTCCTACAAAGCAGAAGAGAGTCAATCAGATTTCCAATCTTATTACTTTGGAGCAGAACAGAGGGTGTTATTGGGGCAATTCCATCAACATTAGTTTTAAAACAATTAGTCCCATTTAATAATTTAAACAAGACAACCAAAAGACAAACAGAGGTAGATGCAAGCATTTCGTACTGACTCATCAGTACCTACATTACAATAATTACAGCTTTATGTCAATCTACGCTTCCCGTGGGCATAAGGCTTGCCAATGGTTGCTTTCCTGCATACGTTATTGGCTTAATTAGTGCTCTTGCTAGATGTTATATTTGAGGCTGACTTCAACTGTGTTATTGTAATGTAGGTACTGATGAGGCAGTACAAAATGCTTAAACCTACCTCTGTTCATCTTGTATTGTTTAAACTTTTTTCTTCACTGCAGCCTCCCGAAAGTAAAGCTTTTGATTGCTTATTTGTCAGCCTCCCCATAATTCTCTAGTTTCCCTCAGTACCTGCTGGTTGCTCCATCATATCAAGAGGCTCTTTCCCCATCTCTGGGACTCATTTTGAATGTGTTAGCCATGTTTCCTTATTTCAACTTAATTTGGGAGATGCTGAAATGGTAGGCGGGACAGACCTCTCCACCCTCCCCATTTGTCCTGTGGTTGTATATTACAGAAAAATATGCCAAAGGGGGAGAAGAGCAAACCCAAACGGAGAAAAATTAATTCCTTCGTCTATACTGATTAGTGCACAAACAAATCAGGACCATATGATTTGGCAGTGACATGGAATAGTTGCTCAGAGCCAAGATAGGACTTGATAATGGGACAACTCTTTTAGTACTATTGTTTTGACTGATCAAAGATAACACTATCTAGAGTGCATTGTTGGTATAAGAATCCAGGTCTGTTGAAATTAGGGTTAGGCAAGTGTTGCCATGGCCAGATCCACAGAGCAGGGATGTTGGAAGTTCAAGATGAATGACGCTCCTGGCTGCTGAAGTTTGAGAAGAATCAAATGAAGTCCAGACAAGGAGGAAATAAATCTCAACCATCCAACAAGAGAACAGTAACAGAACACCATCAAGCATAAGATCACGCTCTTGCACATTATGATTTGTAAATTTGTGCCGAGTTGTGCAGACCACAACACTGTGGCCTATTTAGCAAGCCATGACTTGTCTGGACTTAACTTGATTACTTCAGCAGCCAGGAGTGTGGAAATAAATCTCAACTACTCAACAAAAAGAACAGTAACAGAACAGCATCAAGCATGATCACGTTCTCACACATGATGATTTGTAAATTCGTGCCGAGTTGTGCAGACCACAACACTGTGGCCTCTTTAACGAGCCATGACGTAGTCCTGCCTGAGAAATCAAGATTTTTTACGGCAGTGCCATAAATGTCGGATTAAGAATTTTGCAAAAAAAAAAAAAAAAACAACCCACTGTGTCCGAATCGTGGATCTCTCGGGCCTAACTGAATCCCCCTGTATCTCAAGGGCTCCGTGCTATTGCAGCCATTAGCCAGTTCCCTGAGATTCTCCCAATACGATCCTTAGCAGCCTTCGTGGCAGGGAGGCACCTAGGCAAGTCCATTAACGTGCGCGCGCGTCCCACTCTCCCGCCCAGAAAGCGGCTAAGTAACCGCGGGATTGTCGGGAACTTCGTTATTGCAGCAGGAATTTCCCTTCGTGTCTCCCCCCGCCTTGAATTTCCCACCAGGCGGCCCTGGAGGTGACTCGCTCCTGGCTCTCTCCCTCTTGCGTGTTCTTAATCGTCGGCGGGATCCGGGTCCCGGGAGTTCCGCCACCGCTGCGGCACTTCTTGCCTCCAGCCCTCCTTCCTCTCCCGCGCTCTGCTCCAGGCATGAACCCTTCATTGTGTCTGCCGCGTTCACTCCTCCCCGCCTGGCGGGGCCTCCCTCAACCAACAGGCAGCGGCTGACCACGTTTTGTGTCCCTTGAGAGACTCTGCTTGGACTGCGCCGCGGGGACAGCCTGGTTTTCGGTCAGCCCACCGCTTTCGCCGGTCCAAGAACGGGAGCCTGGCGGCTGCTCCTACCACAACTCCTTCCCAAGGTTCACCCCCTCCCCACCTCGCTCCTAGGTAGGAAAGGAGAGCTTACTCTTAAGGGGTTCAGGCTGCACTCTTTCGCTGTCCCCTGGCAACCCTCAAATGGCTGCTATTCGGTGAGAAAGCTTCTTTCCCACCTTTCCTCAACCTGCTGCCCTCTGGGCTGGGAATATAATCCCCAGGCCCTCCAGCATTATTCTGAAAAATGGGATCCCAATGTACCTCGAGGAGCTCGGAGTTGCCCTCTCCACCTCCTTCATTCTTAAATTTAACCACGGTTTAAAGAAGTAAAGTACATTTCTAGATCCTCCCGACAGTTATAAACCAATCCCACACAGGCCCGCACTAAAGTTTGGTCGGCCAGCTGTATGGTATATTCACACGTACATCGCCTCCATTCGTGGAAAAGAACCCCTTCGCCCCCGGAATTGGGCGCAGCCGGGAAGAGCTCTTGCGGGGCTCTTTCCCCTCTGCGGACGCCTTAACGGCCCTTTTGTTAACCTCAAGAAAGTTAACCATTCCCGCTCGCTGCCTTCCAGGCCAACTGGGGCCGCCGCCCCTCCTCGCTAAGGCTTTCCTCTGTGTCTGGGCGCGCCCCAGTTCCCCTCAGGGCAGCCCTCTCTCCCCAGCGGGAAAACACCGGAGCGCCCGGCTGCTTCGGCACTTGCCCGAACGGCCAGCGCTGCCCAGCAGAGCCCTCCTTTTACTCGGATCCACCTCCGGCCTCTTCCGCGTCCTGCCCACCCCCTCCCTCGCCTTTCGGTGGGGAGATCCTTCTCCGGGTCGGCTCTTCCGTGGGGCGCCCGCCCCTTTCGCTTTCCGAGCCCTCCCTTCATCTCGTCCCGCCGCCGACCCTTGAAGCTTGGTGGGCCGCGGAGGGAAGGCGGGGGACGTCAGTGCCGAGTGGGCTGGTCCAGGGCAAGGCAGGGCAGAGCGAGACAGCCTCGCTTTACACGGCTCCTTCCCTCCCGCGGGAAGCAGCAGCCGCCCTTCTGGACTGGCCGCGCCGAGGCCTGGCGGAGAGGAGGCTTGGGACCGAGGTGACCCGAAGGGCTCCGCGGAGGCGCGCTCAGGGACGCTTTCTTCCCGGCTTTGGGAATTGACTGGCTGAGAGGGAAGGCTGCGAGCAGCGGCCGTGGACGGCGGGTAAGGCGGGAAGGGGGAGCCGCAGATAGGTAGCCGTTTCCATTCATTGTATCGAGGGGAATTGGGGAGCGAGGAGGGACGGAGAATGCGGGCGGCTTTTGCGAAGTCTACTTTCTTCCGGGTAATTCAAATTCGAATAGGGGACGAGGAGTGGTGAGATCGATTCTGCTTCGCTTGGGTGACTTGCAAATGAGTAGCGCGCCTGGTAACCGAAGAGCATGCAGGTTGCTCCCGCAGGAAGAGGCACAGGCACAGGCACGCACACACGCCTTTTAGAGAAAGTGAGTTTGCCCATTGGTTTCAACGGGATTAGTTTCTAAGGAAACCCCGCGTAGGATTGCAGTCCGAGAAGTTCTGTTTTAAGACGGACCCAAATTCCAGCCTTCCGGCTATTTAGGTGACCGGGTGGGAAGAAGAGGAAAAAGGCAACGAAATTATGTAGCCTTCTCCAGCTGGTTACGTATGGGAGCAGTTGGAGAAAAAAGCTGGGATCCTGCTGAGGGATTTGGCAGTTGGTGATCACAGGGGTTCTGCCTAACCGACAGGGAATACACACCATAAACCACACGGAGTCTCTGCAACCCAAACCAATTTTCCTCTTTAGCATTTTCCGCCTCTGCGGAACAATCCTCTGAGCCCCAAACTTAGCAGCTGTAGCCGATCTGGCTTTCTAAGGTGCTGGAACTGCGCCGTCTTGTACCGACCCGGTTCTTCTCCCAGGCGGCGCGTTTGCTCTTGCAGAAGCCGTTTCCTCCCATCTGGCTGAACCCAAAGTGAGCAGGCTGATAAATCTGCCAGTCCTTTGATTGCTCGGCCTCCTGCTGTGGTTTTCCAGCACGGAAAGGAAGCGGGGCTGCTTGCATTGTTCGTGCACGGGACCCCTTACTGGTTGGGTGACTGGCTGGGAAGGAGGCGTTTGTTTGTCTTGGTGTTTTTGCACATGCATTCTTTGGGAGTAAAGCACTTTCAGAAGCCTGGTATCCTCTCCTATTCCTTCGCGCCTCTTTGTGTGTCAGGGCACTGTAACATTCTTGTTCCTTTTGCACGCATAAATTATAAAGGGGGAAGGGGAATTACCAGACGCTTTGCATCCAAACCTTCCCAACTCCTTTTGTTTTTCCTTTTGGACTGGCTGCAATGCCCTGAAGGGGAAAACCGCAGGTCCAGGGGTTGTTCCATTGATTTGGCAGGAAAGAGGCTCTCCAGACGCCTCCATGTAAACTTCGGGGCTTTCTTCCTTCTTATCCGTTCCCCTCCTCCACCTTCTGTTTTCTATTTGGTGGTGTATTTTTTCCTGGTTTTGAGAAAGTAGAAGACCTACTTTGACAACAGGATAATAAACAGTATAATTATTACAGGAAAAGCGTTGGCTTATAGAATAGGTTTGGGGATGCTGTATTGCACATGAGGCCAAATAAGGAATTGTAGAACATGAGAAAGAGTTTTATAACCAACCGCAGTGTTTTATTTTACACTGTTTGCTTATACAGTAGTTTGATTTGATGCAGATCTTACTCATGTCTTTACAACTTATTCAAGGACACTGAAGCGTCTTTGGATTGACAACTGGACTTTAGAAAGCATGGAGTACCTGATATGCACTTAATTTGATCATTAACCCCCCTTTTTTTCTATTACTTGTTAACTTTTATTACTTCAAGCAGTATAACTATTCAAACCAACTTCTACTTCCTGACCTTGTCACAACTGTATTTTGCTTGCTGATGGACGAGAGACAGCCTATTTTAGAGCCTTTCTTCTACATTGTGCTACTGTTGTTTTCTAGACTTTTAATATATATTAAGTTGCCAGCTGTGTCAGGAAGGGAAATGGAGAAAGATAGCACAATTAACAGTTGTTGTTCAGTACAAATTTAGAAAGTGCATTTATGACCCCTAGAAAAAATGTATTTCCAAGTTTGGAAAATTGGACTGCTGCCAAGTAAAACAGTGGCATTAAGTGCTATCTGACACATTGGAAAAATGCTTTGTTTGTATTTTTATATCAATTTTCTGAATTGTTTATTACGTTTTTCTGAATGGTGGAATGTATTGCGCATTGCATACAATGGGCATGAAATGTATATCTTAAGACTCAAAATGTATATTTGCAAAAATTATTTGCCAAATTCATATAAAATATATTAAATGGAGAAGCATTATATACTCTTTCTCTCTGTGTCCCATCCTCCCATCTCAACCAAATTGATCACTACACTGGTCAAAATGTTAAAATTATACAAGTTATGGCTCCAAAATAGGCCCTTTAGACTTCCTTCTACATTCAGTGAAAAACACTTCTATTCCTGTAGCATGTACAAACAAATGCATTGTACAATCAAGTTAAATGATATGAGCATTCCAGAATTGCACTAGGTCAGTCTTCTGGATGACCATGAAGATCTGTTTTTCCCATAAGCTTTGGGCTAGGGTGAGGGTTAAGCATGACGGATAGTCTGATGGCTGGGATGGGAGACTATTTTTGTCTTTGTTTTTATGGCAAGTTGCGCCTAGTCATTATATGAGAGACCGCCATCAAAGTTTTGTACATAAATAAATACATAGCACATTGACTTATGGTCACATTTGGGATGGACACTTTCATCGTTAAGTAGTATGGTTACTACATGAATTGTGCCTGATTTTACGAACATTTTTTTCGTTTAGTTTACTGTCATTGCACCTCGTACAACGAAATCAAACACCATCTTCAGTACACATCATGACCATGACCATGACAATAAACACAAACACACATCCTTCACCCTCCACACATTGAACTGAAACTCCCGTACCAACACTGCACTATACAGCAGAATTCAAAAGAGCTACTGCCCTGGGATAGAAGCTGTTTTTCAGCCTGTTTGTCCTTGTTTTTATTATCCTGTACCGTAATAGTTCAAAAAAAAGGGTTCCCAGGATGAGATGGGAGAATGATTTGAACTTCCTTAAGGCAGTGGGAGCTATAAAGGTTTTCCAAAGAGGGGAGAGGGCAACCAATGATCTTCTGGGCAATGACGTTAACCCTCTGGAGTGCTGTCCTATCTGCCACTGTGTAATTGGCAAACCGTACAGAGGTGCAGTAAGTTAAAATGCTCTCTATGGTGCAGTGGTAGAAGATCAGCAGTTTTCCATTCAGTTATTTTCTGAGAAGTCTCAGGTAGTATAATCTCTGCTGGGCCCTTTTGACCAGTGATACAATGTGAGCACCCCAGGTCAGGTCCTCTTTTATGGTATTTATTTTATTTTGCCATCATTATTAAACAAATCACATGGTTGTTAAGGAAATATGGCTTCTCCTATTGACTTTGCTTGACAGAACCCCCTGGGAAATAGTTATCACATTCCCCCCAGGATGTTGCAATGTCATAATTACATACACGTGGCACTGTGAGGTTTGTAAGCATGAGGATCAGTCATAAATCACTCTTTGATATTGTTATAGGAGTCACTATACAGATGCTTTGAGTGATCATTAAGTAAATGCTTGTAAGTTAAGAGTTTCCTGTGTGTCAGGAGTGCTAAGTCACTTTTGTTTCAACAAACCTTCAGATTCATTTCCTTGGAAAGTGTAGTGGCATTTGTAGAATATGCCCCATTGCAACTGTCAAAAGAACCGTGCCTTGCCTGATTTTATTGACAACACTTTGATGGGTTTTGATCAAAAGTTTATTCAGATCTCTTTTCAGCTGCCCAGGTCTAAATCAAAAACTGTCATAATGCAAAACATGTGATCTTCCAGTTAGTATTACCTGTCTCTGCATGAGCTTTCCAGTAACTTTGAAATTTTCCTTTATGTTCTGCTGTGGTAACATTCCATTTTATGCAATGAGTAAAAACGTTCCAGGTTGTATTTCCTTAGGAAGGTCATGAAATAAAAGAATTACCTACTAGTCACGAACATATTATTGGTACCATAGTAACTAACTGAGGTTAACTAATCTCAGAATTGAAGTACACTCAGCCTGGTCAGCACATGGATGAGATATTGCTTTAAAATTTGAAGTTAGCTTATCAGAAAGAGATCCTGGAAGTGTAAAGACTTTCACCATAACATATGTAAACTCAGTGTTTGGAAGCTAGTCTAAAGAGACTATCAGCTAAAGCAGGCGTGTTCAAGCCATGGCTCAGAGGCTGCATATGGCCTTGAACAGCTAGTAATATGGCCCCACAAGATGGTAAACTTTTAACATTGTTATGTGATTTTATATTATTTTTATTATTATTTAGCACATGAGAATACGGCAGAAGAGAAGTAACCATATATATATATATATACACAGTCCATGTAATTATAACTAAAGCTTCTAGGGGGTTTGGCAGTGGCCTCATAACTGGATGTCCAATTCAGCTGTCTAGATTATCACCTCTGGCATTGCTTCATGCAGATCTTCTAGGTAACCAGCAAACATACATCTTGGGGAATCTTGCACAAAATGTTTAATAGTTTGCATATCAGCACCATAATCACAAGAAAAGAAAACTTTCCATCCCCACTGATAAAAGACAGAGGCACTTTTTCCAGTATCACACGTACTTCTGTTCAATTTCAACCAGGCAAAGTGAGGCAGGTCAAAAGCAGGTGGTTTTGTAGAGGATTTTATATTATACAATTGTATTATGTATTTTATATGTTGCCCAACAGAATTCCAGAATTCAGTGTGGTTGGACAAGCCGAGAGGTTTGTACATAAACTAAAGGTCCACATTTGTACTGATGTTCTCCACTAAAGACTTACGTCAAATTACTTACTTTTGAATTGTCCAAGTCAAAACTTGCTTCCTTTGAATTTCAAAATACAGATTTGAATCAAATCTTTGAATTTCAGTTGTATCTTAGATGTTTAAATACTTCATCTTTTCTTTATGAGAGTACTAGTATAAGCATTATAAAGCATAAAAATGCATAAAAACTGAAATGTAAACCTAATGTTGGCTTCAAATTACTTAGAAAAACATGGAAAATCCTAATTTCATCCACTGTAGCCATTGCCCCTCCAAG